TCTGTTGTTATTTCTTTTTTCAGAAAGGGTTTTTAAAGAGCATTTTTCGTACACATTTTATTGCATCTGTATGTTTTTTAAAAAGATTACACAAATGCAGTTTCTTTAAGGTTATTACAGAACTATATTTTATAAAGCCTTTTCAAAGAAATGTTATAAACATATTTTTGAGAAAATGCGCAAACAAACTTAAGTATTTAACTAAAAATGCAGCACTTTTATTTCGTAAATATTTCCGGTTTTAAATTTATTTAATCATCGCCACTTTTCTATAAGAATGGTTTGTGCCAGTCTGACAAGAGTAATCCTGTATTATAGCACTGGTTTAAAAAAAACTCCCTCCCCCCTCCCAGATGGATTAACTTGACATTTAGAATAACTTCTCATGGGAACAATCAGCAGAGGCACATCTGGATGGCTGCTGCCCTGGAGGACTGGACTTTGCATGGATGTATGTAGCATGCAGTGATACTGGTTAGTAAGAACATAAGCATAACAGTTCCTTCAAAGTCAGAGTGCATCTGCCTGAGAGGCAAGGAACCAACAGTCTGTATACAGATTAGTCAGATCTGTCAAACAGATGCGCATACAACACTCAGGTTCTGGAACAGGACTGCAGTCCAGAATTTGACGAACAACCAGAAATTTCCACCAGAGTTTACAGCTAGTGAACAGAAAGAAGAAGAAGAAGGGGGAGAAGAATAACCTTCATTTGCAATAACCAGTCCACATTTACTTGTATAAAGTTTATGTGTTATGCTAGATTATTTTTGTCATAATTTATTATTGCTTTATCCTCTCCTACTGATCTCAACAGAGTATTCCAGAGTAGCACTTTACGGGTGCCTAATTTTGTCATCTTAGAAGAGTATCTGGGTAGGTCATGTTGGAGCTACTGAGTTGAGTGCATGGCGCGACCCTGTGAGTTGCGGATTTCATTTGGAATGTTTTTCAACTGTGACTAACGTGGTGTTGTGAACTGTAGATTCAGAAAATGGCGCGTGGCATGTCATTGCAATATTGGTGGTGCCCTTATGTGATTAATATTGACCAAGTGTGCTACTGCTGATAACTTCTGCTACCATCAATGATAAACTGCATTTCTAATGTCAGACTGTTTGTGCTAGCACTTCTGATGGCTACCGTATGCTTTTAATGCGAGAGTATGCTAGTGTATACGCTGTGACAGCAGTCTGTCAATCTTTCCACAAGGGACAGTGACGAACATTCTATGTGTTTTTTGTTGGCACAGGAGCGGAGCAACTATGGGGTGACCCGTTTGCTGTGAAGCTGAAACTAAGATTACCAAGATACTTATGCCAGAATAAAATAAGCTTGTATTCACATCCTAAAATAGAAGAGGGAATGATTAATTAATAGAAAACAAAATATTTTTAAAGGGGTCAAATTCCAAACAGAATACTAAATTCTTCTTCTTCACCGGCTTTAAACTCCGGCAGAAAGTTCTGGTTGTTCGCCCACTTCTGGACTCCAGTCCTGTTCCAGAAACTGAGTGTTGCATGCACATTTGTTTCACAAGTCTGACTCATTTGCATGCAGACTGTTAGTTCCTTGCCTCTTAGCCTTTAGCACCCCACAGTCGAGTATATTGGACTTCAGCCGCCCACCTCGTAGCCTCCCACAGTCGAGTATACTCGACATCTATATATGGTTGGGGAATACGAAGCCTAAACGGAGCTACGCGTGTGACCTTCTAGAGTGGTTTCACTTCCTCTTTGTCTGTTTTGATTGCTAGGAGGCCGAGAGTAGGTTTGTGTGATCAATTTTTCTGAGCCAGTTCGATTTTTATTATGGGGTGCTAAAGGTTAGGCAGATGTACTCTGACTTTGAAGGAAGTTCCCATTTAGTCGACTCTTATGACATCCTTTTGGGTAGGCAGTGGGCCTGTTCTTGTTTTACCCACATAGGAAAGTTCTAAATTATTTGATTAAATTTTGGTGGACAAGTAACAAAATATTTGGCTCTCCTCCGAACTTCTACCTGATATTATGGCGGCCATAAAATATCCTTACGGGGCTCAGTCTTATTAAAAATATGCCGGCTCCGTATAACAAAACAAATGCTCTAACAGGGTCTCAGCGATATGGTAATTGCGGACCTGTTTCTGTGACTATGCCTCACCGCCGACCGTATTCCCTGCGCCGAGAGGCTAAACTAGATGGCTGAGACTCACAAGCAGCAGCTACCGTATCTCCTGCAAGAATTAAAGACAGGCTCAACAATTCATGCAGAAGGGAGCTAGAGAATGATGTTACAAAGACAAAGAGGATATAGGGGTCATCTACATGCAACAGCCTAAGTTGTATGAGGGTCGGTGCTCCCTTGGAGGATAAAACGCTGATGATGATAATTTCCTCTTTGTGTATTTTATTTTTCAAAAGAAGCAGCAGCCTTAAATTATTAACTCATACTAAGCCCCTTTTCTTCTTTTCTCTATTCTTAGAATGCCTCACAAAAACAAAATAAAATACTGGATATTTCTTTCTAACTTAATGCCTCACAAAAACAAAATAAAATACTGGATATTTCTTTCTAACTTAATGCCTCACAAAAACAAAATAAAAATACTGGATATTTCTTTCTAACTTAATGCCTCACAAAAACAAAATAAAAATACTGGATATTTCTTTCTAACTTAACGCCTCACAAAAACAAAATAAAAATACTGGATATTTCTTTCTAACTTAACGCCTCACAAAAACAAAATAAAAATACTGGATATTTCTTTCTAACTTAATGCCTCACAAAAACAAAATAAAAATACTGGATATTTCTTTCTAACTTTCGACAAGTTTTTGGGTGTGGATAATGTAGTGCTATGGATAATATCATAAGTCTAGATGACATGCACACAAAATAAGTCCACATTTTTTATTATAGAAAGAAGAAAACAGTATGTTAAACATAGTGAAAACACTAAATATTCTTTAGTGCTTCCTCCTTTTCAAAGACAACAGACGATTATAACAACATTCTTATGTAATTGTCTTCATTCATTCATGTATGCAAAAAAATGGAAAAAAGGGGGGGGGGGGAGACGTAACGAGAGAAATACATTACTGGGCAAACTGCTATTGTGAAAGCAAAATGAATATTTGTTCCAGTTATTTATTATACAAATATATGCAAATTTGTTTTACATATGGAGATGTTACTTTTAACATTGTGTTCAGTCTTTTTTTTTGTACATTTTTTATTATAGAATTATACAGTGAATCTGATATGCTGTGTTCTAGCTTTGCTAAATATAATTTATATAAACGCTTGCAATATAAATGATTGTTTATAATTGTCACTGACTGCAGTGTTGCTTTGTCTAAGAGATACAGCAGTTGAGCCCATGTGTGCTAATGCAGTGTACGCTCAGTTCTCAAACTTATTTTTTTGTAATGCTTGTTCAGCAAACAAGAAACTGAAACCTTTTTCTCCATAACAATTTTTGTAAAATGACTTTATCTCTTTCTGAACCTCGTGATTATTTATTTCAAATTTTGTAGTAGTACTTATTAAGGTAGTACATATATAAGGATTTTTTTTTTTTTTTCATTTTTTGTACATAAAACTCTGGTAAAATAGGCAGTGAGCAGAGGCTGCAAATCTAACTGAAGATAGTTTTTCCAGAACTGAAATTCCAAAAGGCAACAGAGGGATGTTTTATAATGAAGATTTATTTGAAATCAGATTGTTTAAACACAAAGTTTTTCAGGAACTGAGGCTGCACTTATTCGTTAAAGACGAAGATTAACAATTCCCATCCCAATGTGGGACACAGACGCAATTTTTGTGTGTGGTTATTTTAAAGCCTCACCCTGGCTGTTGTTTTGGGGCTCTAAATATAATCGGACTGAAGTGAGTCTATGGGACTTATGCCCGGGTGGTTCTCATCTGTTAGGCCTCAGAAATTAGATATCTGAGAAAGGTGGTCCAAGTGACAAGAAGGGACAAAGTCCGCAATCAGACAATACGTCAAGATCTTGATACCCAGTCCTTACAAACCCGATAGAATCGGTCACAGTTACGATGGTTTGGACATGTATGCAGAATGGGAGAAAATCGGCCACCATGGCAAGCATGGGAGGCTAAGAACCAGGGAACCAGACCTCCGGGACGACCCAGGGTACACTTGGAAGACAACATCCGACAGTTCCTTTTTTTTTTTATATCCAGAAACCATGAGTTGTTAACCCTTTGGCTCGGTACTATGGATAACGCAACCCTTCGGCCTTGATTCCATGATAGGTACCGTGAATCTGGGAGATGGGAGAAATGTGGCTTTTCTGCCTACCTCCGGGGGTGAACCCGGACCACAAGGAGTTCATCACCCGGTCACCACGATCTCAGGTTTAACCAACTACGCTAGAGAGCCAGGCCTGACAGTCCCTAACTGACAGAAGACTGGAATGAAACAAAGCCAGAAAGAAAAACTGCTGACAGAGACGTCTGGTGATCTCTCTGGCAAACCTCTACATCCCAAGGTAGAAGAGGAGCGACTAAATAAGTAAAGTAAGGTTCTCATCTGAATAGTGGGGGAAAAAGAATAGACTCACTGTCCCCTCAACAAGCATGTCCTAAAAGGTAACTAATTTAGACATTTTTCAGAGGATATAGGGAGGTATGGCTTCTTCAGTTGCCCACAAGTGTACAGAATAGGATTTTTCTGTTTGCCCCTGACATAATTATAATTTTTTAGACTACAAAGTATTTGAACCATGACTCTAGAATGGGAATTCAGTGCTCTAAAGTCCTAACCAGCCACTCCTCAAAACATTACAGACTACAGAATGAAAAATGTTTCAAGTTTTATTTTCCAGATCATCCAAAAACCAATGAAATAGTTCAAAACCTGTCTATACCAAATTACACCTTTAAAGTTTCTGCTGTGATAACTGTAAAGCCACAGTGGAACTGAAATACAACTGTTGGCTGTACAATGAACAAGTACTGAGATGAACGATAAACTATTCTTGCAGTGTTGACTATCACAGTTCCACATCATCAGGGTGATAAAAGTCTTTCACCAGTCGATAGACGTAGGATACTGACTGTGCACCGCTGTAATAAACATACACATACAACAAGAAAATTAAATTACTATCAGGATTCAGTATTCAGACAAAAGGTAAAATTAATGATTTCCAAGCAATATTTATCCCTCTAACTATATCCTTTTATTAATACTTTGCTTTCATAAAAATGGGCAGACCAGAGCAAGTTATTATTCTACCCCTTAGATCAGGACACAATCGACTTTGCAGCCTCATGTACACAAAATGTTTAATCGGCGAATCAGACATGTGCACATGTGGATTAGCACCTGGGACAACAGATAATGTCCTTCAAGACTGTCCAAAATACAACATATCAAAGCAAAACTTTTGGCCAAGAGAAACACCGGTGCAAGTCAAACTTTATGAGTGAATTACAAAAGACAGTGAGGTTCACACTAGAGACAATTTTGCAGACATAGATAATTTATTTCAAGTGGACAAAAGAAGAAGAGGAAGCTTTCATTAAAAATGATGAGATGGCAAGATACTGGTTTCTAAAACCAAATGATATAGGATAATGACTTTGTACCTCCTGCTTACCCTATGAGAGAAACAGGGGTGGGGAGGAAAGTGGGAAGAAAAAGAGAGAGTGAGAAGGAGATGTATACACACAGACACAAAATTAGTATAACTACTAAAGGAATGCAGTGTTGAAAGTGACAACAACAGGAACAGTCAATGTCTCCCAAGCAATATTTTTCTTTCTAACTATATCCTTGCATCAGTATTTAACTATCATTAACAATCATTAACATAGATCAGTGGGCAAGGTAAATAATGGTTTCTGAATCTGGAGACAGTTAAGGAAAGGATTTTTAGCTGTCAGCAATAAGATAATAATAAAAAAAAAGTGGTGTCTTTAAACTTTATTGTAACTGTCACAACAGGTGGTCTTTATCCCATGCCCCTCAACAAATCCTCCCATCAGACAATTGTTATATAACTTTCTGTAGCAAAAGCTTACAACCATGCATCAGTAGATACTTAAAAAAAAAAAAAAGCACTATTTAAATATAATCCCCCCTCCCCCCAAAGTTAAAAGTTAAGGCCATTGTGAAGTGTATAAGGAGATACTCTGTACCTCGCCTTAGGCTCCAGCAGGTACTCTGCTGGTTTGATAAATCCTCATGCAAGACTCCTACCACATCTTCGTCATGCCGACAGAAACTTCTTCTTTGCGTTCGGTTTTGTATGCTCAGATCAGACCATCAGGTGGGTTGCCTCTATGAACTCGTATGTCAGTAGCAGGTCCTTCATGGTTTCTCATAGCTTGCTGTGCACACTTTGCTCTTGAGGCCAGGTGTCTTTTTGACATTGTAAGTAAAGTTGGTAGGTCTGCAGAATGTGCTCAGGTGTTTGTGGTCCTATTTGACGGGCAAACTGTGGGGACTGTACAATCTTTATTTTATGCATGTTGTAGTTGAGCCTGCAGTGTCTTTTTCGTAGATGGAAAATTGTTGCATGTTGCTTTCTGTTGAGTCTGCTGATGTGGTCTTGTGGATGTATACTGATAGTTTCAAAAGAAACAGCATAACTCATATGTTAAAAAAAATGCAACAAAAAACAACAACACAGGCATAGCATGCACACTCACACACAAGATAACTCACTTGTTACTAACAACCATTGATATGAGCTCTGGTGGTACATAGTCAAAGATGGGAGCAATCACCTCAACTTTGGACAACAGCTCAGCATCCTCATAATCTAGCAGTTCAGCAGGACTGGCAAACTTGTTGAAAGATGCCTGTAGAAGACAACAAACATAAAGATAATTAATTACATATGTAATGGTACATGTAATCACATATCAGGTCTTCACATATTTTAGGCCACAACATGAGATTAGACAATTACCTTTCTCCACTACCATTCCTTCCCAGAACATTATAAAAACCGTCTGGCACATATGTGTAAGGCCTGGCCAATTCAAAAGCCATATGACTGGAAATTTTGTCTTCAGTGATCGTTTCCTATGCTTCTTTTCTAATATGGGTCATAAACAGGACAAAGCACTTGAGATCTTTACCAGTGCCCCAGTTTCTCTTGTGTCAGATTTTTTTTCTGCCTGGCAAGGTTTGGGCAGTGCTGTAAGACATGCTCTGGAGTTTGCTAAGTTAGCAAGACCCATTCGCCGCAGGTGTGTTCTGAGTTTACAGTGTTCTTTCCTGAGTGAAAATTCTAGTCTGACCTTTCTGATAAGCCTGTTTACATTCTCATGCTAGAAGGCTGAGTGGTCTCGAGGCATGGCATCCGCCTCGAGTGCTGGAGGTCCCGAGTTCGGGCCCTGGTAAAGATTGGGATTTTTCACGTGGACTTGTAGTAATTTCCCCAAGTCCCAGGGTAGTAAGATCGGACTCTGGTGTGTATTGTTGCGCACATAAAAAAATCCCTTGGCAGTTGGAAATAAAAAAAAGAGTAGCCTAACGGCGCTGCCCAACAAAATTTGGAGTTGAAAAACTACCCAAAGTATTTCAGGATCCTCGGGGTTACTACGAAATTTGTGCAATGAGCTGAGATTCTTCATACTCAGGCTAGAGTTAGAAGCAGAACGGAGCACTTATGGGTTACTACCCTTGATCCGTTGTATAAACAATAAACTATTCTCATGTTAGCCTGTATTTTTACTGGATTTCCTGGCAAATGTTGGTAAATTAACCCAGGCCAAGTCATGACAAACAAGAGCACTTGTCACCATACCGCCTTGTCTCCTAATTATATATGATAATATGAAAAAGACCACTGAATTCTGGCAGCAACAATCTGAAATGCAGTTATTGTCATTGTTGATTCAGCAGTGAGTCTAGACACTGTCAACCTGGAAGCTCAGATCAGTTTCTTGTGCGTGTGAAAATCAGTCTACACTACAACAGGAAATAGTTGCACTTACATGTTTAGGAGTCGTGTGAAACAGAGGGGAAAGCTTGTACAAACTGGAGCACACTATTACCTGTGAAGGAAAATATCATAGATAAATAGACGTAGAATATCAGTTGTGCTGTCTAGTTACATACTGAAACAATACAGTGAACATGCTAATCTTCACTGTTAACTGTAGAATCGTCTTCGCTGCACTGCAGGCACTATCTTAAGTGTTCTGATCTTCTCCTAAGCAAGTTTTCAAGTGTACTGCACTAACTAGTCCTGCTAAATACAGCTTGATCTAAAAGGGAGGGGTGCTCTCACACATTTTTGTGTCGCCCTGCTTCAATGGATGTACCCAAACTTTTTAGAGGAGAGAGAAAGATAGATAGACAGAGAGTCAGAGAAACATTTATACATACTTTAGGCAAAGAACTTGCATACAGACTACATTTACAGGCATCAATACCTTTGAATGCTATAGTTACATGCGGTGCTTAAAATCCAGATACTTTTGATTACAGCAAATTAAAGTCTGGTCATCACTAGTCAAAGTGGCCCAGGGGGATTCCACTTGTGGATATCAGTCACATATTGATGCTGGTATACATATGAATAACACATGGCTCAAGGAAGTAGTAACGACAGAGAAACCCCACCAGGAATGCTGGTGAGAAATCTCTGAGGTACTAGACTAGATTTCATGTTTGAAAAATCTAAAACAACCGCACAGGACAGAAATGGAATGGAGGAGATTTACTGGTTAGAAAACAGAAGGAGCCATAAACCGAGGGTTTCTTAGCAAAAGAGAAATTGGCAAGAGGACGAAAATGGCTGTTTACCGCTCTACCTATGTACCAGTCCTGACCTATGGGTGTGAGTCATGGGCAATGACAACAGCTCACAGAAGCCAGCTGCAGGCCTCGGAAATGAGATACCTGAGAAAGGTGGTCCAAGTGACAAGAAGGGACAAAGTCTGCAATCAGACAATACGTCAAGATCTTGATACCCAGCCCTTACTAACCCGAGTAGATCAGTCACAGTTACGATGGTTTGGACATGTATGCAGAATGGGAGAAAATCGGCCACCATGGCAAGCATGGGAGGCTAAGAACCAGGGAACCAGACCTCCGGGACGACCCAGGGTGCGCTGGGAAGACAACATCCGACAGTCCCTAACTGACAGAGGACTGGAATGGAACAAAGCCAGAAAGAAAACTGCAGATAGAGACGTCTGGCGATCTCTCTGGCAAACCTCTACACCCCAAGGTAGAAGAGGAGCGACTAAGTAAGTAAGTAAGAAAACAGAAGGAGATATACTGGTTAGAAAACAGGAGGAGACACAGTGGTTAGAAAACAGGAGGAGATAAAATGGTGTGAAAACAAAAGAAGACATACTGGTTAGAAAACAGGAGGGGACACGCTGGTTAGAAAACAAGAACTATTAAACTGGTTAGAAATTAGGAGAAGATAAACTGGTTAGAAAACAGGAGGAGATAAACTGGTCTGGAAAAAAAATACATACTGGTGGAAAACAAAAGGAAACATACTGGTCAGAAAACAGAAGAAGATAGAGCTAGTCTGAAAACCGGAGATACTTGTTAAAAAACAAAAGAAGACATACTGGTTAGAAATCAGAAGAAGATAGAGCTAGTCTGAAAACCGGAGATACTTGTTAAAAAACAAAAGAAGACATACTGGTTAGAAATCAGAAGAAAACATACTGGTTAGAAAACAAAAGAAGACACACTGGTTAGAAAACAAAAGAAGACATACTGGTTAGAAATCAAAAGAAAACATCTTCTTCTTCTTCACTTCCTCTTTTACCGCTGTGGGTGTCGAGGGAGATATAAGGTTCTGTTTCTAGCTCTTCTGGCTGCCTCGACCATAGGCACATCGTGCTGCTGTAGAGTTTCTCTGATGTTATCCTTCCATCTTGCCTTTGGTTCACCCCGCGCTCTACGTCCCTCTTCTCCTCCCATGCATGCCCTGCACGGTATGGCGTCACAAGGCACTCTCTCTAAGTGGGCAAACCATTCTACCCGCCGTCTTTGTATGTAATCCAGAATTGGCTCTGTGCCGACTTGTTCTCTTATGATCTCATTTCTGATCTTATCTCTTATGGTCACTCCTACAGCCCTTCTCAGACATCTCACTTCCGTGGTCACCAATTTTCTTTTATGGTTTGTTGTGAGTGACCATGTCTGGCACTGGCAGCACAGAGCTGGAATAAATATGCTTTGAATAAGATGTCTCTTTGTGCTGACTGGGATTGTCTTATGCTGTAAGAGGGGGGCTAGCTGTCCCAATACTTGGTTTGCTTTACTGCATCTAATGTCAATTTCTTTATCCAATTTCCCATCTTCGGTAAATGTAGTTCCCAGATATTTAAACTCAGATGCCTGTTTAATGCCTTTGTATTCTATTGTTATGTTTAGATCTGTCTTCTTTTTTCCTATTGACATTACTTCTGTCTTTTCAGTGTTGATTTTCATATTATTTGTTTTACATTCTTCATTCATGGATGTTAGATGTTGTTGCAATTTCATGGCTGTATCTGCTATCAAGGCCTGGTCATCTGCAAAGAGTAATTCGTTGATCTTACTAAGATCTTCATTCATAGAAAGAAAACATACTGGTTAGAAAACAAAAGAAGACATACTGGTTAGAAAACAAAAGAAGACGTACAAGTTAGAAAACAGGAGATCTGTAATGTTGTGAATTCCCGGGGAAATCCCAGAGAGTTCCCTATGGGGAGGACAAGGTCGGAGGACCAGTGATAGAAGAGAAAAACTGGATAAGTGGGTCTCGTGTATCTCATGTTGAGCGAAGTGAGGGACACAAGAAAAGCATGAGATGTGAACGGAAGACGTGAACCGGGAGACAGAAGTAAGACAGTTGAAGTTCGGCCTTGACTGAGAGAGGTCGCATGAGTGGACGCTTGAGAAGAATGAACGAATTGTGAAACGAGTGTTATATTTCGATAGGAGGACTGAATGTTTTTCCACACGTCTTAATGTCAGGTACCAAGGTTCGTGAAGGATAGATGGATGATTCGAGAGACGTTAACGGATTCATGTAGTGTGTAAGAAGTCCGAACAGGTCGCTAGATTCAGCCAAGCAAGACGAGCACGAGGACGCGAGGATGTGTGTATGCGATAATTGGCAATTCAACAAATAAAAGCAAGCAACTCAAGATTCGTTCATGTTGTGTCGTTACAACTCACTGTTCGTCTGAAAGCAATGTAAACACCACATGCCCCTAGCAGAGCATATTACAAGATCAATTTTATAAGAAAATAAAAGGAGACAAAGGCACCTCCTTTCATCTGCTGCTAGCCTGCAGGATACCTCAGGTGCAGGGGTAGAGTACCCGCTGAGTCCTCCAATCAAGGTTACATGAAGTCATGGCTGACAGGTGATAGACAAAAGGAGTAAGCAGGTGAAAAATTGTTTTGTCAGTATTGGTCCCCGTTTTAGGAGTGCTAAGCAGATGATGCCTTTACCGGCACCATGGTCAAGACAACCTGCCCAGTATGGGCACTGCTCTCAAGGAAAGAAACTACAGCTGACTAAGTATTTTGCACAGAAAAGTCATGTCTATATTCTTTGATCATGTCATAAGAAGCAGAAAACTGGAGTATACAGCGACGGTGGGAAAGTTGGAGGGGAACACAGGCAAATGAAGATTGAGAGACAAGATGCTCGGCAGTTTGACATCAAGGCATGGAGGAATTTGTGTCGGAACTTATTGAAAGTACAAAAGAGATACAGATGTGGATAGGCGTAACTACCAAGGCCCAATAGCACGGTCTAAAAGAAGAAGAAAAGGAAAAAAAAAGGAGGAGATATACCGGTTATAAAACAGAAACAATTCTGCCAATGTTTAAAATTAAACCCAAACCACTGTCTTTTAAATGAATCATGGAACAGTTGTGAACTCACATGCTTGTTATGTTCCTTGGCTAAAACCGCAGTGATATTGGCTCCTGTGGCAGCTTTCAGTCTGGGAAAATTTATTTTAAATTTTTATATCTACATTGTAAATTTTGTTCTTAATATAGAAGGAAATATTAAATGGAGAGGTGATATTGATCCTAGGCGTGAGAGAAATTAAAAACTGTTTGTGATGTGTATAAGGAGTTACTCCGCACCTCGCCTAGGGCTCCAGCGGGTTCTGGGATGGTCTTACAGATCCTAACGCAAGTCTCATGCTGCACGTCCAAGTTGGGCACCACAGATAAGGGCTCACTTTTGTGACCTTAACCAAGTTGGCAAGGGATCTCCGAGTTGGTGACCTCTAGATATGTAGTGCCCGGTCTGGTTCACATCCACCACCCCCCCCCCCAATGCATCGACAGAAATGCCTATCAAAGCTCATTTGGGTCAAGTCTGTGATTGTGGTGATCGTGTGAGATGACAAAACATGACAGCCTATGCTTACTGGCACGGCACATGATGATGATGATGATATACACAGCATGTACAGTAAATACTGATGAAGAAGGCAAAGGTGCCTCCCTGGATTTAATTTATGACATCAAAAGCATTGAGAAGGAAAGAATGACTGGAGGAAACGACTGTGAGATCAATGAGACATAAAACGTACAATAGGATGATGTGCTACAGGAACAGCTAGCATCTACACCTTAAGTCATTTGCTGTGGGAGACGGAGCATCTATGGGTATGGCCAGTGTGCTATGATGTCGATTCTTAAACCAGTAAATCAGATGACGATGATAAATACAGTCTATGTTTAACCGTGCGGCATCCGTGGCTCAGGCGTTGTGAGTCCGACTCGGAATTCCAATGTACTGCGACCTACTGCTGGCTGCGTGGATTTTATCATGCTGACCACATTACCCACCTAGTGCCGACTGGTCTGTAAAAATATGGGTGCTCTTCCCATATGCCCGCTGCGCCCAAGGCCTGACAAGTGCTTACTTTTACTTTTCTTATGTTTAACCATGAGAAATGTGCGTACCCTCCATTTGCCATGAAAGAGTGTGTTCCAATGATAACCTTGTTGACTCTAGGCATGATGGTTCCAATTTGGCACTCAGTTATCAGAGTGGTGTTAATCTTTGCCATGGCCAGGTTCTTTGCCATTTCATGACCCTTTGTGAAGAAATGTAAATCAGTTAGTGGTAAGGTTAACTGCCACTGGCGTATATTTCTCCTACAAAAATTTACATCAACATTATTTTATCATGTCAGTACTGAAGACAAGAAAAATGCAAAAGATACCAATAAAAAGATATCAACTGCAGTGTGATACCCAACAACAACAAAACAGTGATTAAGTGTTATATCGCAACTGTTCCGCTATACGTTCATGGGACAGGGACAAAAAACAGACAGGCTGAAAACATCTACTAGCAGTGGAGATGTGGTTTTTGAGAAGAATGTAAAGAATATCAAGGAATGATAGAAAAAAGAAACCAGGTAGTCCTCATTGAGATAGATGGAAACCACACATTGATTACAGAAATTAGACTGGGACAGTGTTTTTAGACTTGTTACGAGAAGGACTTCAGAACTCGGTTAAACTGGTAAGATTGATAGAAAAATTAGCAAAGTGAAGGCAAAGAAATAGATACACAGATGGTTTAGTTAGCAATATGGATAGGATAAGACAAAAGAATTGACCTGATTCGTGATCTGGGTGATCATGTGAGACAATAAAACTTGACCAACGACTCGTAAGCCAGCATACCGCGATCGAAACCCACTGCAGGCTGCGTGGATTTTTGTCGTGGTATGGGACGTCGCAGGTCGACCCAGCCTCAAATGGGTACCAGGATGGGCTGTCCTGGGAAAGTAAAGACAGCCGGCGTAATGCTGACCACATTACCCACAGAGTGCTGATGGTCTGTAAAAATATGGGACGCTCTGCCCATATGCCCGATGCGCCGAAAGGCGTGAAAAGGGATCTTTACTTTTTTTTACTTACCTAGGCTCAGCACACAATGATGATTAAAGACATACACATTTTAAAAGTACTGTTTCTCTGGTTTCAAAACTTCATGTTTCACAACACTCAATACTAAATCATTATCTTCTGGGCAGCGCCATGTCTAGATGGGTTCAAATCCAAACCAGGATAAAATTGTACCAGAATGACCAGGAATTTGCTTTGGTCTTCCACATTCGCATAGAGACCCTTACAATGAAGGTGTGCTCTGAGTTCACCGTGTCCTGTTCTAAGTCTGAAAACTCTGTATCTCTCCACAGAATGGCTGGCCGCCTGCCCAAATCATCGCACAAAGCATGAACACAGTAGCTCCAGCGACAATCTGCAGATATCTCGGTAAATATATTACATTAGTGAATCCAACAATGCAGTTGTGAAAGTAACCCACAATTTTCAGAGCATGAAGCAAATGGCTTCACCAGGAAGACTCCCAATCTACATGTAAAAGCCCCAAAAGACATTTTAAAATTACGTGTCTTTTTTACAATGAAAGATGGCTGTATTGCACGCACTGCTGCCACTAGGAGTAAAACAAGGCGAAGTCCTAATCTCTTCCAAGAAGGTGTAAATGTGGGATAGCTTTTGAAAGCCTCACTTCCATACGTTCAGCCTCCCACTTATCATTGACTGTGCCTTTGGGGATAGGAAGGAAGCATTCTGCAGACCAAAGACTTTTATGACCTTCATAAACTAAGCATTCTGCTTCCCCAACATGATGGGCTATTCTCATAGACAAGGACACTTTTTATGTGGGTGCCTTAAGGCACTCAATGTGGCAGTATCGGGACAGACACGATCATATCGATAATTCTGGTAAGCATGACAGTCTCCTTTGGTCATGACACCTAAGGAGTATAGCCTTTATTAACAAAAACATCTGTATTGTCATTTAGTAGGACCTTCACTCAATGTATGACCTATGCTCATGGACATTTTACCAATTTGGTTTCTTCACTGAATTTTAGACTGACAGACATCTGAACAACAACAACAGCAAAAACAAGAAGGAATTTAGTAGGAAGCATGGCCAGTTACTTTGAGATCTCATTTTCTAATTTACTCTTTCAATGGATGCTTTCACTCATGAATTATGGATAGGCTGATAAGGCCATAGGTTCTTCATTTTTAGACACTGCACCTCCAGTGGCCAACAACTCAAAGATTCCCTGACAGCTCTGTTTAGGCCAAAGTTGGTCATTATCCATGGCGAATGAAGAGGACATGGAGCAGGGATCTTGCAAGAGGTTCAGTAAAACCAGCATAAAACATCTGAGGTGTGGTAATGGGCATCCCCTTTTAAACAGCATAATGACCTTAACTTTGCTGTGCCTGAAATCAACTCACCACACACCTTTGATAAGCAAAAGTAAACTAACCTGATAAAATGGTGCTCCTTCAGAAACTAGGACTTGAAATTGTATACCCTTGAAAGCAGCATTCTAGGCAAGAACAAAAAGAACAATTTATTTTACAATTCACCATTTTTTTCAGATCATAATCTTTTTATTTTGAATTTAAATATAGGAAAAGCATGACCAGCCTTTCACTGTTAAAATTAAACTAATGCTCTGATCAAATGTTGATCCTCTCGTAGCTTGTTGTGTCAAGGTGAAGTATAGAAGAATGAGCTTTAGTGTGATTTGCAATTGGGGATTCCCAGAGATCTGACAAGCAATAATGCAAACAAATTTACATGATGTGAAAATTTGTATGAGCTGTATACAGCTAACCCTTAGGTATAGAAGTAAAAGATGGACAGACAGATAAAATGTAACATTATATGAAAGCTGCAAAGAATTAGTTTTATAGACAAATCTTCTTCACACTCAGCAGCTGTAAACTCTAGAGGAAAGTTCTGGTTGTTCATCCACTTCTAGACTTTGGTCTTCTTCCTCCGCATCTGTTTTACAGACCTGGCTTATTTGTGCGCAGACTGTTGGCTCCTTGCCTCTCAGGCAGATGCACCTTGACTTTAAAGGAAACATCACTCTTAGGTCTACACTGGCCTGGCTCCCAGTGGGGAACCTGTTTCTAGGATGACAGTAGAGAGGTGTAGATAGGTCTTCAGCAGTAGAAGGCCTGGTCCTGAAGCATCATTACATATGGTTCAGCAGCCCTGCATCTATCTTACAATGTTGAGAACACCATGAGCTGATTACAAGTGTAATGAACATGTTCTGAAAGAAATTATTTGGAGAGGAGAAATGCACCAGAAGGAGACAATCTACATTTACTGGCCACATTGTGAGAAAGGGAAAACTTGAGGACATTTTGACGATAACAAAAAAAATGCAGAGGAAGAAAGGCAGAGGGAGACCAGGAGAGTAGAGGTAGAACAGTCTGGCATCATAACTTGGGAGAAAGGATTGACAATACATGAGTCAGAGGCTGTGAACAGATATTATCATAAAGGCCACATGGCACGGAATATAACAGAATGTGAGAAACCACTTCAGAACTATCAGAAACAGCTTCTTAGCTTTATATTTTAAAGAACCTTTTTCATGCCCAGAAAAGATGGGCTGATGATGAAAGTTCCACTTTCCACAAAAAAGACTGGCTAGTGTCAAGGAATGACAAGCCATTACGCATCACCCCTAAAATAGTCGGGACCTGTATTACCTGTGCTCGACACAACATTCAAACTTGGACTCGTCCGGAAAGGTATATAGTCCCTTATATCGATATATGCCTTTATCGGACATAATTATAATACCTGCATCTTCCAGTTGCTTTGACTTAGCGTCATTTTCAAATTTGCAACTATTCGATAAATATTACTGGAGTTAATTGAGGATTCTTGGAAACCGATTTACTCCTTGCTCATGTATACAAGGAACTACTTCTTACAGACGCCTGAATTGAATTTTTGCGGACTTTTCCCATGCTTGGGTAAGTTAATTATAGTTTACGAGTACCTTAAAGGATGTCTGTTAAAGTGGTCACTGCTGTAGAGAGATCAGTATCGGCTATGGGATCACACATAGTTCTACCGTTCTTGTTCTCCATGGAAGCGGATTCGAACTTAGACCTTCCTCTGTACAGACTAAATAGCCTATGCCCTAAATAACCCACACATACTGGTAAAACTAATAACCTTAAAAGTGTGTACTATTTAAACTAACAACAGAAGTTTGTGCACACAAATGGGGAAAGAGAATTTAGGTCAGGACTTGGTCAGGCAGCGTTGCGTTAGTGTGTTTGACCCAGATCAATGAATGTGTGGGACTGGCTTGAGAGTCGTAGGGAATAGGGGTACTGACGGTAAATGTTGGTGTCTGTGTGCAGATGGGGGGGGGGGGAGATTGATATGTGTGAGAGTGTCTATCTATCTCCACTATATATCTGACTTTCCATCTCTTGCACTAAACAGACAGATGAATGATAGGAGACAGTGTCTCCTGGTCTTGAGAGTGCACTCTGAGGAATGAAACAGGGGAGCAGAGGTGGAGTAGGCTGATGTGGGATGGTGACTGATACTTATTCTGTCTTTCCTGTCAAGATGTTACCCTCTTGGTGATGACTAATTCTGAGTTCTTTCTTGGCAGGATGAAACCTTTGTGAAGAGCTGGCAGAAAAATCACAGTCCAACCAACCAACCATCAACCTATTACCAACCAATTATCACCCAACTACCAGTTGTGAAGACTGACATCAATTTGGGGTGCCATATACCCCAAACATCCTACAGTGCCAGAGCATGTGTGTAGCTCAGGGACAGTGCTGCGAATGACTAGTGGGAGAGATTTGTTAAGTGCCTATCCAGCTGCTGTGTCCTTTATGGTGAGGTACTCCTCCATCATCTGATCCAGTTGAGGCAGAATTACCAAAGACATTCGAATCATCAGGAGCTGAGGGAAGCATCAACAATAGAAAAGGGATAAGTGCCAGTTAATGCCATGTTTTGCTATATTCCCCACAGCTCCCATGTTTCCCAAGGATGAATATGTGTCATCTCCAGATCATTCTGGCTGTTTGGTTGTCTTTGTAATCTGGACATTGTATTCTGGAATCCAGCTATTGAGATCTGGCATCTACTTCACTATTATATATATATGTATATGTTGTATTGATTACATGCATTCATTTTCATGGCTAACTTAGGTGTCTCTATTTCACCTTTTTAAGTGTTTAGCATTTGTGTGTGTATGAATCTTAAATATATGTGTTAACATGGTTATGATAATGAACGATCATAACCTGGGGGTTTTCTTTAGTAAGTAGTGGGGGTGTCCAGCCAAGTGTGCCTAGGAATATTGTATTCATATACAGATATATTTTGCAGTGCCAATACTTGAGTTGCCCTACTCCAGAAATAAGTTGAGCGTATATTGGCCACGGGGAATCCCTTAGACCAATACGAGCCAAACGACTCAACATAATTATTTCTGAGTGCTGTTGGTTCTGAAGGAGAAATCCTTATATCAGGCACGTGACAGGAGTGATATGTGACAGCTAGAACTTAACTGGTGATGTCAGGGAAATCACTCCAAACATCTTTAGTTACCGGAACAGTTCTTGGTTTCAATTTTAGGCTACATCGACCAGGAAGCCCAGGCTGATTATTTAAAAATCCACCTCAATGCAAATTCCCACTCACGACCAAGTGTGCTTGCCATTGTACACTGCAGCTCTCTTCTCAATTTTAGAAGAGGCTGAAAGAATCACAAATGTTACTTTAATTTTTATACTTCACCATGTGGGTTCTGGGATCCCATTGTAGGGGGAAAGAATAGACCCACCACCCCCAATAACCATCAATCAATCAATCAATCAATCAACCAGCATGTCCTTTATGGAATGTCACTTTCTTCATGACACATGTGAACTTCTCTCTTTCTCTAGCCAATTCTCCAGCCCGGTGTGGCTTTCATAGCCAATGCATCTTCAATGTCCTGTATCCACCCTGGTTTTCCAGAAACTGCACCCTTCATCATTGTTCTCTCCAGGGCACCTTGGCACTTGACATGTCTAAAATACCTCAGCTGTCAGGAGAGGATGCTGTTTACGAGCCAGTTCTCCGTAATGTTCAGGTCATGCAGGAGTCGATGTTTTCCTTCTTCTTGGTCCATGGTATTTTAAGAATCCTCCCCCCCCCCACAACAAGTGCAATGAACCTAGGCTTACGACGTATCTGCTTCGCCACGTATGATTACTGCAACATAGCTACTTGCACTACTCTAACATCTAGGATTGATAACACAAACGGCTTTCAGTTCCTTTATACATTTCTGTCAGTTTATTCGATCACATTCTTCCACACTGTTCCAACAATTATTGAGACATCCACGAATCATCCTCAAGACATTGAAACTACATTTTCTATTAACACAACTGTCTTCTACGACTTCTGGTAACCAACTGACCACAAGTCTAGCTCGGGCTTGCCCAGGTCTACTCAACTGGCCCCAAGACTCTCGTGCGGTTGTTTGTCGCAAGGGATTTTCCGCTTGGCTCTCTGTGAGCGAGGAGACCATGCAAAGCAGGGTCATCACAAGAAGCATGTCGTAAAAGTAGACTAATTAGGGTTTTTTCTCTCAAGTCAAGAGCACATCTACGAGGAACCCAGTCTACATTACAATAAGCTAGATCGCTGAGGTGGATGTACAGGCAAAACTCAAGTTCTGGAACAAGAATAATATCCACAAGTGTTTGCAGGCAGTGAATGCCAAGAAAAAAGAAGATTCTTGTACTGTTTAAGTAAAGCGTATACTGAGTTCATTCAAGTCTATATATATATAGCCATTACCTTGAGAAAGGCTTCTACTGTCCTTGACCTGCCAATGGTCAGAATGATGTCGTTCTTGTGGATATAGCTGGGAGCCAGAGCTGCAATGTTCTCAACGCTGTTTTTAAAGAAAAAAAATGCAAAATATGAATTTACACAATGACCACATTCTTATCTGATGATGTTAAATGAGGGTAACTGTAGACAAGTTGATGTTTTACGTTGTATTTAGTACATCCTTATGTTGTCAACATTACTGAGAACATCAAGTTATGTAATTAATGTAATTCACATTCATTAACTTGACTTATGTCACAAAATTATGCAGTTAACATGCATTTTGACCAACATTACTTAAAAATACAAAATTATGTGATTAACATATCGTAATTTGCTTATTCACTGACACTTGTGAAAGTTTCTATAGAAATCTCAAATTTCCAGAGAGTGACAGCAAATTCTCTCTCTGTTTAAAAACAAAATCATGATACACAAACATCCACCACATGTACTCAAAATTTAAAAAAATCAGCCATGTGCACCTGTGAAAGATGCCCCAGATAGCAGAACATGTACTCCAGAACTGCACCGAATTTGATACATTAAGGCTAACCTTTTGGCCGGAAAGAACAACAGTGGAATGTAAACTCTATGGACAGCTGAACAAACTAAAAATAACAATGAAATTTATATTTGTATACAAATGAGTCAGGTCTGTAAAAACGAATGTACACGCAACACTCAGGTTCTGAAACATGACCACAGCCCAGAAGTGGATGAACAGCCAAAACTGTCCACCAGAGTTTACAGCTGGTGAACACAAAGAAGATGAAGAAGAGATTACATCACCCATTTCTAAAAGGATTTTTTAAGGCAATTCCTGAGTTTTGGTTCTCTTTCCTCAAGGATTAGTGTCAACCCAGAGGCTATTTAAAGATTAAAGCTGATGTGTAATTAAATATTGTCAAAGTAGGTCATATCAATGAAAGTTATGAAAGCTTACCATCCTTCAATTTCAGTTTTCAATTCTGTAACTGCTTCAATGACTGATGCCTGAAGATGATAAGAAATATTTTTTAAAAAGCAAAAAAGATTGCTAAAATAAAAACAAATCACCACCTTACCTGTTTGTTGTATAATCTTTTGCCCATAAAATGTGTGAATAACTACCTTTTTCAGTTTTTGAAGTAATTACATTTTAAAACTATCACTATCTTGAAAATTAATACAGCTGTAAAGTCAACCAACATCTACTCAGGCATGCCTTCACAGCCATTTTCTTTCCAAACAAGTAAATATCAAAGCTGTACCCTATTCCCATCAGGTATTTCTTCTTCCGCTTACTTTCATCTCCAAATTTTTCTTCTTCTGCATTCCCCTTAGGCTGCTGAATGTTGAATAAAGAATCGACATCATAGCACTCGGAACACTCCCATAAGCTCTTCCCCCCCAATCTTTAGCCACAAATGAAGAGTTCCAATTCTGAAGGCACCAGTAACTGTTTGATGGTGTATCAGTCTCACCATTCCCTTGAATGTTGAACTTCGGCCAGATCACCTGGTAACTCCCAGCAGCGCCATCCTCCTCAGACAGTGTAGTAGTATGATCTATCTGTGCCTCCCCACTGTTCACTCGCTCCCAAAGGGCCCTCACAACATCTAGCTTGTCATACATCAATTCATCATTAAGTAGTGCCGAACTGTCCAATCTATCTGCCTGCTCATTTCGCAACACACAGGCATAACCTGGAGAAATAATCACCCTAAGAAGGGTAGTTGATATGTTGTGTTGTGGTTTAATGCCAGGCTGCAACATATGTGCTCCGCTCAGCAAATGTAATTTCAGCAAACTTATAACTAATCACCTTTACTAACATGTTCAACTGTAGACCAGCCACAAAGTACATATGAGACTTTTTACAGCAGAACATCTGGGAGGAAGGCGAGAGGAAGACCAAGAATGAGATGGAAAATTGTTAAAACATCGTTTTCTCTCCCATTTGGAGGAAAAAAACTTGTCAATCCCAGCAAAATATTGAAGCTTGCACATGTAAATAAAAATGCATAAGGCAGCTGTTAGAGGTGTCAACACTAATGGTGCCACACCAGAACTGCAGCTCACTGTTGTGTAAACTGTGAATCATGAAAGCCAATATAGCATCCATTAAAGTACACGCCATTCTAAACGTAACCAGCCACCTACCATTTAAGTGCTGTCAAAAACACGGCACGTGCAAAACAAAAAAAAAGAAATTCCACATGAAAGCCACAGCTCACAGTGTCGCACCAAGTGCTTAACTCAGTAGCTTGATGACGGAACCTTTGGACTTCTGATCCAGAATTTGCACCAGTAAAACCTAGCTGGAATCAAATAACTGGATTTTGCAGAACAAATTAAAGGGTCTATTATATCATTTACAAAAACACTTTTAACTTTAGAATGCAACTGTTGTGTGTGTGCGTGAGTGTGTGTGGGGCGGGGGGTGTCTTTCTAATATTTACAAAATATAATATGCTCTTCGTTAAGACTATTAAAAGCATTTCTGTGGTAGACCTTTCAAACCAACAAAACAATCCATATAAGACAAGAAAAGAAATGTTACCTTCAAATTAGGCAATGATTTACTGTAGTCATCTCCGTCTTCATCTCCTGCATCTGATATTGATAGACTCTGGTAATAAAATATAAATAAAAATTACATAATTAGGCTATCCTCCGACTAACGGTCGGCAAAGATGGCGGCCGCAAAATATCCTGCTGAGCGGCAGTCAGGTGTCAATTGCGCGCTTCCAGCTACTTAATTTGCGGTCTCCCGGCGGTTTTCCGCCAACAACCGCTACCGCCACGTGGCTCCCACACCGCTCACGTGGCGTGGATTGGGGCTAAACTAGATGGCTAGGACTCACGAGCAGCAGCTTCCGCATCTCCTGCAGCCTTGCTCGTGAGTCCTAGCCATCTAGTTTAGCCCCAATCCGCGTTAGCGGCGTGGGGGCCACGTGGCCGTAGCCATAGTCCCCGGAAAAGCCCACATTAAGTAGCCGGAAGCACGCAATTGACACGTGACTGCGGCTCGGATGGATATTTTGCGGCTGCCATCTTTAGTCGGAGGATAGCCCATAACTGTATACATCATTACAGCAGGAGTTGACTCATATGATCCAGTTACCAATATAAAACCACTGATAGTTGTTCTTTTATACCAGTTATGATAGGCAAAACCAGAATATTCTGAGTGGCTAAAGTAATGGTTTCTTCTTCTGCCTTTCTAACCCCCAATGGAATATAGGGCTTCAACCAACTCACGCCAAGTTACTCCCAAAGCTCTACATTAGTAATTCTATCACACCATTTAATTCCCTCTATTGTGCGCAGGCACCAGTTAATGAATGTCTGTAGTTCATTAGTAAAGAAAGGATTTCACAATATAATTGTCATAATTACCAGGCGGCTTCAAATGTGTGATAGAAACTACATTAACCATAGCACTGTCTTGCAATCTGTCAATACACTTCTTCTTCTTCTTCTTTGTGTTCACCGGCTGTAAACTCTGGCGGAAGGTTCTGGTTGTTCGTCCACTTCTGAACTCTAATCTTGTTCTAGAAACTGACTGTTGTATGCACACCTGTTTCACAGATCTGTCTTATTTGGATACAGACTGTTGGTTCCTTGCCTCTCAGGCAGATGTACTCCGACTTCGAGGGAAGTTCCCAATTAATCGACTCTTACCACATGCTTTTTTCATACCCAGTGGGTCTATTCTCATTTTTTCCCCACAATGAGGCCCCGGAACCCATATGGAGATCTGTCAACACTGTTAAGGATGTCATGTGTTAAGCACATGTCATCAAGGTGCAGATGAACATGGTGACGTCGTAATTACAGTTTAAAGATGGCTGTCCCACTTCTGACACCAAAGAGGAGCAGTGTTCTGATATCCGTGTTTTGATCAGTGAAGGGGTGAAGCCTACAGAAATTCAGCAGCCAATGAAGTTCTCTGCCTGTCAGTCCAGCAAGTTTAAGAGTGGAGTAGGAAGTTTCAAAACAGTGCGACTTCTATGACAGAATTCTTGACAAGTATCAATGCCTCGCTTCAATTCTGGAGTATGCTGACATGGCATCCACCTTACAGACACTTTGCGGTACTGTAGCACATGATGGATAATATGGTGTGCTGAACCTTGACTGATATCAAGATGTGAGGTAATTTCACTCACAGTCTATTGGTGGTTTTCATGTACGAGGTCTTCAACAGCTGCAATCGACTCTGGGGTCACTACTTGGTGTGCTTGGCCCAGTCGTGAACAGTCTCTCACATTGTTTAGCACTTCTAGGTTAGACAGCCTAATCGTGAACAGTCTCTCACATTGTTCAGCACATCTAGGTTAGAAAGCCCAGTCGTGAACAGTCTCTCACATTGTTTAGCACTTCTAGGTTAGAAAGCCCAGTCGTGAACAGTCTCTCATATTGTTTAGCACTTCTAGGTTAGACAGCCTAGTCGTGAACAGTCTCTCACATTGTTCAGCACATCTAGGTTAGAAAGCCCAGTCGTGAACAGTCTCTCACATTGTTTAGCACTTCTAGGTTAGACAGCCCAGTCGTGAACAGTCTCTCACATTGTTCAGCACTTCTAGGTTAGACAGCCTAGTCGTGAACAGTCTCTCACATTGTTTAGCACTTCTATGTTAGACAGCCCAGTCGTGAACAGTCTCTCACATTGTTCACCAAAACCTTCTTCGTTTGTGCCTGTTCACAACATAACTGCAATTTTTAGCCGACACATCCAACTTCTTCTAGCATTTGTTACCCGGCTTAGTCTTCCCAGTGAAGCGAACATTTCCTATGTAAAGAAAGTCTTGTCAAACATTTAAATATGGTCCTACAGAACATTAGAAACAGCTGAGATGTAGCGGCTAGACGCTTGCCCGCGGATCAGAAGATCGTGGGTTCGGGTCATTACAGAGCTGTACTATATTCAAAATATCACCTTGGTTTCCAGATCGACCCAGCCTTACATTGGTACCAGGTAAAGTCCTAGGAAGTAAAGGTGGCTGGTGTAATGCTCACCACATCCCCCAGCAAGTGACAGCTAGTCTATAAAATATAGGTCTAGCCCTATAAGCCCAATAGGTGTGAATGCGTGGAAAAGAGTCCTTTTACTACAGAACACTAGATCTGCTTACTGCAAGAAGTACATCAAAATACCTTACCTGCATATCTGAAGAAAGATTGCTTTCATCAGCGGGAGATAGCAGCATCCTGTATTAATGAAAAGAAATAGGATATTAACGACACTCATTTCCCCTTGTGGGTTCAGGGGTCCCATTGAGGGGAAACAATAACAGACCCACTGCCTACCCAACAAGCATGTCGTAACAGGCGATTAATTGGGGAGCTTTCTTTAAAGTCGGAGTGCATCTGCCTGAGAGGTAAGGAACCAACAATCTGCATACAAAAACAAGGAAGACCTGTAAAATGGATGCACATGCAAAACTCAGGTCTTGGAACAAAGTAGAAGTTCAGAAACGGTCAAACAACCAGGTCTTTTCACCAGTGTTTACAGCTGGCAAGCAACAACAACGACAATCATGATGAAAATAATCAATAAAATATGTTAAAAGGCTTACATGTTGCTAGGAAATCTATGGAACATACAAACAACTTAGCAAACAACTTAGTTTAGGGCTTAATGTGGAATATTCAACTCCAACATAAGATTGGTACTGCCGAATGGAACAGAATCGATTAGAATGAATAAAACAGTCACAGCTAGACTCCAATCATGAACTGGTGCCTGGTAGGACATCATCACCACCAATCAGCAGTCCCTTAACTGTACGTCACTCTCTTCATGTTACTTACTTACTTACTTAGTCGCTCCTCTTCTACCTTGGGGTGTAGAGGTTTGCCAGAGAGATCGCCAGACGTCTCTATCAGCAGTTTTCTTTCTGGCTTTGTTCCATTCCACTCCTCTGTCAGTCAGGGACTGTCGGATGTTGTCTTCCTAGCGCACCCTGGGTCGTCCCGGAGGTCTGGTTCCCTGGTTCTTAGCCTCCCATGCTTGCCATGGTGGCCGATTTTCTCCCATTCTGCACACATGTCCAAACCATCGTAACTGTGACTGATCCACTCGGGTTATTAAGGGCTGGGTGTCAAGATCTTGACGTATTGTCTGGTTGCGGACTTTGTCCCTTCTTGTCACTTGGACCACCTTTCTCAGGTATCTCATTTCCGAGGCCTGCAGCTGGCTTCTGTGAGCTGTTCACTCTCTTCATGACAAGCCTAAAACCCTCTTCCTCTAGCCACTTTGCCAGCCTTTATCATTACCACGCTGGTAAGTGTAGGCTGTTGTGTTTTGCCATCTTACATGATCAGCAGAATCACAGATCAGTTAAATGTTTTTGTCTCGCTCCATCCACCTGGCTAATTCAATTCTTTAGCATGTTCAGAACAAATGTGAAAGCTATAACAACAAATTATACTGCCTATGCAATTTTTCGTTATTCGAAGCCCCACCCTAAGCCGGGCCATAATTATGGCCTAACGACTGAACAGGATTTCTGGGACCTCTCCACGGGTGATTTTCATCAGCATGGTGGCACTTTGTGTCACCGGGTGTTTATCACTTTTTGTGATGTCCTAGTGGGTCCTAGAAAAGAATTATGTAAAAAAAAAAAACCAGGTGCGATACTGCGTACAATTGCATATTGCTAGAAAAAAGCCCTAGCCATATCCATGAATGGTAACTTCCATGCACCAAATAACATGGAAAGATAGAGAGGTACACACAGTTTAAAGCTGACTATGTGACCGAGGAGTTAAACTTAGTGAAGTACGTCTATGCCATCTTTGAGGTAAAGACCGGAGACACTTGTATCTTCTTCTTCTTGACGTTCACCCGCTTTAAACTCCGGTGGAATGTTCTGGTTGCTCATCCACCTCTAGACTTTAGACTTGTTCTAGAACTTGAGTGTTGTGTGCACATCCATTTTACAGAACTGACTTATTTGTATGCAGACTGTTGGTTCCTAGCCTCTCAAGCAGATGCACTCCCACTTCAAAGGAAACCTCCAATTAGTAGACTTTCAAGACATGCTTGTTGGGAAGGTAGTGGAACCCACAAAGGGAAAAGGAAATATTATAACTAGGGCTGTACCGAATATTCCCTTTGGGGCCGAATAGTGGACCTAATAACTATTTGGTATTCGGCCGAATAGTTGCGGTCGGGCCGAATACGAATAGTGGTTACCTTACACCCGTTTTTGGACTGGTGGAAAAAAAACATGTCAATATTTCGCACCTTGGTTCATACTGTGTTATCTTTGTGCACCACCTATGAGCATACCAAGTGAACGTCTGTTTAGTACAGCTTGAAATACCTTCAGTGAGACCAGAAGCTGCCTTAATGCTGACAACATGGAACGATTGTATTTTTTTTTTTGACAGCTAATGCCGCTTTCATGGATTAACTAAGCTGTCAGTGACAATTTACAAGTTTAGTTACTTGTTATAAAACTAAGAATACTTTCATTCATAGATATTAGTTACCACAGACTGACTGACTGAAAGATGCAAAACATGAAATGTTTTTAAATGTTTACTATTCTGTACTACATTTTGTGAAGTAAAATTTCAGCGTACATTTGACATTATGGATGTTTTTTTTTTTTAGATCTACGAAAGTGGAAGAATGGTCCTCAGTTTGAATAGTAGGGCGACAGAAGTAATGATGGTATCAAAGAAAAAAATTATTCCTAAATGTGTAACAAAAGTCAATGGTTTTTTTTTTTGGGACAAGTACAGAAATTTAAGTATCTGGGCATATGGATAACATCAGATGGAAGATACATTACTGAAATAAGAAACAGAATAGGACGCAAAAACTATCTTTTATAAAATGAAGAACATCTTATGCAATATATCTTTGTCATTGAAGGTTAGAAAAAGAATTCTTGCTTGCTACATACATCCAGTTTTAACATATGGCTGGAAGTCCTGGACAATCGGTAGGCAGGCCAAACAATTTCTTGAGGCCTCTTTAAAGAACAATGCTTAAAATACCTTGGACAGCCGTAAAAAAAAAAAAGAGACCAAGAGGTTTTGATAGAGGCGGGAGCCCGAAGACAACTACTCACAGACATCAGAAGGAGACAGTCATCATTTTTCGGCCATGTTATAGATGAGGGAAAATGGAGCATGTGGTGACCACTGGAAAGATATATGGAAGGAGGGACAGAGGAAGACAACGAGAGAAGATTCTTGACAGTCTTGTTGCATGGCATGGAGGTGTGTCAGCACACAAACTAATACATGCTGCAGGAGATCGCAGATTGGGGCAAAGCATAATCGCCCATGCCAGATGGCAAAGCACCCGATGATGATGATTCACTATTCGTATTCGGCTGAAGAGTGAAAATCACTATTCGGTACAGTCCTAATTATAACTAACGCCTCTTGGGAGCAATCAGTAGAGGTACCTTGGAGTGGCCGCTGCATCGGGGGACTGAGCATGCATGGGGATGCCCAATGTAAAAAGACGTCGATTGTGATAACATAAAATAAAAGCTGATCACTTTTGCATCTTTCTTGGTACAATTAAGCAATAATTTGATCGTTGCTAAAACAAACATTACAAGCATTAAATTTAATCACATGGTGCCATTCTAGGGATAGTTCAAGCAATAATTTGAAATAATATTTCGCACCTTGGTTCATACTGTGTTATCTTTGTGCACCACCTATGAGCATACCAAGTGAACGTCTGTTTAGTACAGCTTGAAATACCTTCAGTGAGACCAGAAGCTGCCTTAATGCTGACAACATGGAACGATTGTATTTTTTTTTTTGACAGCTAATGCCGCTTTCATGGATTAACTAAGCTGTCAGTGACAATTTACAAGTTTAGTTACTTGTTATAAAACTAAGAATACTTTCATTCATAGATATTAGTTACCACAGACTGACTGACTGAAAGATGCAAAACATGAAATGTTTTTAAATGTTTACTATTCTGTACTACATTTTGTGAAGTAAAATTTCAGCGTACATTTGACATTATGGATGTTTTTTTTTTTTAGATCTACGAAAGTGGAAGAATGGTCCTCAGTTTGAATAGTAGGGCGACAGAAGTAATGATGGTATCAAAGAAAAAAATTATTCCTAAATGTGTAACAAAAGTCAATGGTTTTTTTTTGGGGACAAGTACAGAAATTTAAGTATCTGGGCATATGGATAACATCAGATGGAAGATACATTACTGAAATAAGAAACAGAATAGGACGCAAAAACTATCTTTTATAAAATGAAGAACATCTTATGCAATATATCTTTGTCATTGAAGGTTAGAAAAAGAATTCTTGCTTGCTACATACATCCAGTTTTAACATATGGCTGGAAGTCCTGGACAATCGGTAGGCAGGCCAAACAATTTCTTGAGGCCTCTTTAAAGAACAATGCTTAAAATACCTTGGACAGCCGTAAAAAAAAAAGAGACCAAGAGGTTTTGATAGAGGCGGGAGCCCGAAGACAACTACTCACAGACATCAGAAGGAGACAGTCATCATTTTTCGGCCATGTTATAGATGAGGGAAAATGGAGCATGTGGTGACCACTGGAAAGATATATGGAAGGAGGGACAGAGGAAGACAACGAGAGAAGATTCTTGACAGTCTTGTTGCATGGCATGGAGGTGTGTCAGCACACAAAACTAATACATGCTGCAGGAGATCGCAGATTGGGGCAAAGCATAATCGCCCATGCCAGATGGCAAAGCACCCGATGATGATGATTCACTATTCGTATTCGGCTGAAGAGTGAAAATCACTATTCGGTACAGTCCTAATTATAACTAACGCCTCTTGGGAGCAATCAGTAGAGGTACCTTGGAGTGGCCGCTGCATCGGGGGACTGAGCATGCATGGGGATGCCCAATGTAAAAAGACGTCGATTGTGATAACATAAAATAAAAGCTGATCACTTTTGCATCTTTCTTGGTACAATTAAGCAATAATTTGATCGTTGCTAAAACAAACATTACAAGCATTAAATTTAATCACATGGTGCCATTCTAGGGATAGTTCAAGCAATAATTTGGTCCTAGCTGAAACAGACATAACACATGTTACATATAATATACATATATGTATACCTGTACTCCTCTCTAATAATCTTCAGCACCCTGCGTACCATGTTGCCAACAATATTTTCAGACGGATCTCCAGCCTGAATATTTTTGCCTTCTGTTCTAACATGTTTCAAGAGATCTCTAGATTTAAAAAAAAAAACACAAAATTGTTACATACTTTAACAAACAATTTTATGAAATTTTAATTATCTAAAAATCTTATAAATAGCTTTCAGACTGTGGTATGAGATTTACACCAGGGCAGAGATAAGTATCTTGCCAAATAATATTCCTAGAGTAGTGGATACATTCCAGCCAACCTCTAGTATGGAGATGGCACAGTTCTATTACTATTATTCACTTTCTTTTTTAAATTACCCCAAAAGTTGAAACACCACAAGATTTTGTTTTTTTTTAATTGTAAAATTAACTTTACCCAAAGAAAATTTGGACTATAACATTTACAGTTTTTTCTCATAATATGTTTTACTTCAATTTAATAGTGTATATGATTATGTAAAGCGGCGTCCGTGGCTAAGGCGTTGCGAGTCCGACTCGTAAGCCAGCATACCGCGATCGAAACCTGCGTGGGCTGCGTGGATTTTTATCGTGGTATGGGACGTCGCAGGTCGACCCAGCCTAAAATGGGTACCAGGATGGGCTGTCCTGGGAAAGTAAAGGCAGCCGGCGTAATGCTGACCACATTACCCACAGAGTGCTGATGGTCTGTAAAAATATGGGACGCCCGATGCGCATGTAAAGTGCTCTAAGGGTATGATATATGTATCTTTACCTGAATGCATAATCAGCTTAGACTGCTGCAATAGTTTGTTTCTATCACCTGATGACATCTGCAAGGCAGTAGGTTTCTTTACATGGGATGAGATTTTAACCAGCTCTTTTTTTGCATGACTGTCCTGTCCTGTATGTATTTTATTGAAGACTGCAGCAGTACTTGTTAGTTATCCCACCCTTGCCAGCTGCAAACAGCAATCCTGTTTTGTTCATTGCTGCTTGTTCATTCAATTATTTGTATTCCTCCTGTCTTCTCCCAGTCGAGCATGGGCTCTGAAACAACTCATGCAACATTTCCACACCTTGTGGTGTAGTGAGTATATGGGGTGGTACTATTCCCAAAATTTTATTCACTCAATAGGCTATGTGGTCAATATCACAGGCTGCCTTTGCTCCTTAGAAAATATCCTTGTACCAACTTTTTTTTTTTTTTTAAATTACTGCCTCAAGAGGTTTGGATCAGATGGACCGCATAGGCAAGCATATTTGGTACAGTCTCTGTCGTTAGGCTGATTTCTTCACACTGGAGATTGTGGGTTCAATTCACAGGTACATCTTTACTGAGATTCCTGGGGCTTCATAGTTCCTACTTTGTGTGATGCTCTTGGCATGTGGCTATCTGTTCTATTAAGAGATACCAAGCCATTTGGAATAAAACCTGGCTTGTTCATCAAGCAAAAAACAGAGAAAGATGGCAGGTTTTGCGTGCTTCCATCGATTCACCTCCATGTCTCTAACGGGTCAATGTTTAATGGAGTCTATTCTCTTCACTTTTAAGTTAGTACAGAATGAGTTATTCTTCCTTTGAGTGTTCTTCACGTTCACCGGTTGTAAATTAAGGTGGAAAGTTTTGGCTGTTCGTCCACCTCTGGAATTTAGTCTTGTTCCAGGACCTAAGTGTGCATGCACATCCTTTTAATAGATCTAACTTAACTTTATGCAGATTGTTGGTTCCTTGCCTCTCAGGTATATGCACTCCGACTTTGAAGAAAGCCCCCAATTAGTCAACTCTTATCTTCTTCTTCTTCTTCGCGTTCACCAGCTGTAAACTCTGGCGGAAGGTTCTGGTTGCTCGTCCACTACTGAACTGCAGTCCTGCTCCAGAACCTGAGTGTTGCGTGTGCATCAGTTTTACAGATCTCATTCTCTTGAATACAGACTGTTGGTTCCTTGCCTCTCCGGCAGATGCACTCCGACTTCAAAGGAAGCTCCCCAATTAGTCGACTCTTACGACATGCTTTTGGGGAGGCAGTGGGTCTATTCTTGTTTTCCCCACAATGGGGCCCCGGAACCCACACGGGGGGTCAACTCTTATGACATGCTTGTTGGGAAGGCAGTAGGTCTATTCATGTTTTCCCCACAATGGGGCCCCGGAACCCACATGGTAACTTCTTAGTATTCACTGATAAAACCTCTAGTGGAATGTCTTGGTTTTTTTGTCCATGTCTGGACTTTAATCTTGCTCCACAATTTGAGCTTTTACAGATCTGCTTTTTTGACAGAATGAGTTATCATTTTACTTTCACTTCAGGATGACATACCTTGCACTTGTAAACTTGGCCTGAGATATTATTCTGATTAACAAGTTTATGGTTTTGATGGCAATATCACAGGAGCCATTTGTAGAGCTGTTGAAAAAAGACACAGAATTATCCCCTAAAATTACATATTGGCATCTACAGTAAATCTGGCAAGCAAGCTACAGTGTTTCTAAGAATTGAAGACCTACATAAAAAAAAGCACTAGTATGATTTTCAGGATGCTTTTTTGCTCCTCCTTCTTCACCTTCACTAGCTGTAAACTCTGGTGGAAAGTTCTGGTTGTTCATCCACTTCTGGACTGAAGTCCTGTTCCAGAGCCTGAGTGTTGCGTGTGCATCCGTTTTATAGATCTGACTCATTTGTATGCAGACTGCTGGTTTCTTGCCTCTCAGGCAGATGCATTCCGACTTCAAAGGAAGGTCCAAATTAGTCGGCTCTTACGACATGCTTTTGGGTAGGCAGTGGGTCTGTTCTTGTTTTCCCTTTAATAGAGCCCTGGAACCCACACGGGGACCAACATATTTGTATGCAGACTGTTGGTTCCTTGCCTCTCAGGCAGATGTGCTCCGACTTTGAAGAAGCTCCTAATTAGTCGGCTCTAACGACATGCTTTTGAGTAGGCAGGGGGTCTATTCTTTTTTTTCCCATAACGGGATCCAAACGCAGATGGCCCCTAAGTAAACTTAATACTTAGTTGAATAGCACTGATAACACCAAAATACTAAAATAGAAAAAATACTGCTACTCCACATATTATTCTGCTTTACATCATTTCTTAGGTACATCTGTCATACAAAACATTATTCGTACAACTAATCATTTTGATTTCTTCCTTTGCTCAAATGCTTTTTTTTTTTAATTGTATTAGTGTATATACTCAAACTAGTCAAACCACTTCATTCATCATTGCATCATTTAGGTTAATAATTAATATTTTGTTGATTTAAATTGACACGATCGACATTGGCGTACAAATACAACGAAACGTATACCCTTTTTTCAACTCATCTACAAAAAGTGCTATTCTTTCCTTCAGGTCGTTTGTCTTGTCTCCGTCAGGCATTCTAATAATTTAGTTCTCTAGAATATATTTATATATGCACGACTGATCTGCTCTTGTCTCGCGTTTAGTCAAATTGTTATTAGAGGGGGAGCTGTTATTATTAATATTAATAAACAGTGTTCGAATGTGCTTATTGAATGTAATTTTAATATTTATAAATACGCTGGGTGGGGAGCAAAATTTACATTATTTTAAAAATAATAAGATATCCTTGTATTTAAAATAGCTATTTAAATGTGTTTACGTATTTGTAATTATTAACGCCTCCCAAACAAGAATAGCAACTCTTCAAGAAGAGGTAAAAATTATCGTTCATTGAATCATGAGTATTTATGAATGTAGAGTCTGTAGAGTCAGCGTAATTCCTTACGTCCTTCTTAGGACGTTATTTTTTGTTATTTGAAGCCCCACTCTGGCTTTTGCCAGGGGCAGCAATATAGGCAGGTCATCATTATGGCCAAATGTCTGAACGCGGTTTCTGGGACCTCTCCACGGTGATCCTCATTCGTATGGTGGCACTTTGTGTCATCGGGTGTTTATCGCTTGTGTGATGTCCTGGTGGGGTAAAAAAAGCCAGCCAGCCTAGAGTCAGCGTACTATTCTGCCTGGAAGCTGCAGATGTGAAGAGTAGAGCATCCCCCATTTTTTTTTAACGCTGGTGGCGTAGCCGGTATATAAAGCTCAATATATAGCCCGATTGGTACTTGGAGTATGATGTGATTAGAATTCTGCTGGCCGCCTTTACTTAGGCTGGACAATACCTGGTGGTACCCAACGGGAGAGGGAGAGTAGTAAAGGTTCTGGAAGGTATTGAGCACGAACAGAGGGGGAGGGAAACATTAACGGACCTTCAATCAGGTTGTAACTGGTATATCAGCTTTCCTCCTCACTGGCTGCTGAAGGAGTGGACGGAGTAAATGTGGGAATATCCCGAGTGCAGTGACGTCAATTATTGATTCATTCATTCTTTCGTTGTTTATACACGGATGAGTCAGTGGCCAGGGAGAACATGCAATCGAAAGAAGAGTTTTGTGAAATCCAAAGGAAAATTACCAGTGAATTTCTGAAAGTCCAGAGGAAAGAGAAAAAAAACTAAATACTGGGAAAACAAAGCAGTTGAGCATGCAGAAGACCGTGACAAAATTGTTTCAACAAAAGAAGCAGGGAAGTATGATCATAAATTTAGGCAGTGTGTTTATGACTGTTTAATGTACAATGTTAGTGTTGGGAATATTTCTCGTTTGTTGTCTTCTGTTGCATGGCTAGTTTTTGGTAAATAATGATGGCTTATGAACTCGGGGTGCTTGCTAGCGTTCAAGCTGGCCAGATGCTGCATGAGTGCGTTCTAGTTACATTAGCCTGGATTCCACAATGAAGGCAGGAATTCATTATAACGAAATGCACTTGTCTCTTAAAACATGAATTAGACCCATTTCAAGACATCAGCAGAGGAGCTGTATCAGCATGTCACAGAGGCTCTCTCTGATGTCTGTGAGATCTATTGTCACACCTTCCATTAACCAGTAACAGCTTTTCTGGCAGAAATTAGAAGCAAACTGCACAGCACAATGAGTGACAGCTGCTGCAAACCACTGTGTGTCTTTAGACTCAAGGAGGCCTTTGGAGACAGAGACGTGGCTGACCTGAAATATATGGTTCACCCATTGGATGGCCTGGCAAGACCTGCCCATTATGCTGTGCGTAAGCTGGAAAGAAGTAGTATGACAGACTAAGATGGTCAGAAAATGTCCTTGGGCTGCTGGGCTGCAACACTGATTCATCAAGTATCCACATTGAGGTAATTTTTAGTCAGTGTTCATTATCATTGTGTAGCAAGTTCTGTACAGAATGTCTCATGTGTGCATTACATCTGTTTTATATCATTTGTAGGTCAAACAAACGTTAGTCTCCCCACACAAAGTAAGTCACGTTTCATTGATAACTTTGTTGGACTGGTCTACCAAGCTGGTGGTTACGGGTGTGCCGCTCTGTTGTTTGCTATCTGTGTTGTCTTGAATTTGCGTTTTTATTCAGAGAAAGAGAATGCCTGTGACATAGGTTTCATAACTCTCTAAAGGGGTTGTGTGTTAGACCCAGTATATCGATGTTTTTAGAGTCTTTAAAGCGCTGGCATTGTGAAATATACAACACGCGATATCAACTGCCTTGTGCCAAGGTCGTGTGGCTCAAATCCGACCAATCAGAAGTGAGCTAGTGTGTGTATGGGCGGTTCGTGGGGAGACCAACGTTACTATTACCCATTTGTTTCATGTTTGTGACAAATTATTCAACACACATGCATTCGGCAGATTGACAACATGGTGATATTAGAACAGTAGTGAAAATTTGGAAGCCACTAACAAATTAAATATATATATATATATATATATATATATATATATATATATATATATATATATATATATATATATATATATATATATATATATATATATATATATATATATATATATATATATATATTACATATAATTAACAGCAATTATCATTTTCATGTCTGCAATAAATAATAAATCACATAATCATGTACACAACAGTCTGTTTTTTTTCTTCATGTTTTCCAGATACAAGGACGGGTCTGGTGATCCGGCTGCATTTACTGCCTTTTTGAAGATGAAGAATATCAATCCCAGTATCTTCAAATGCTATGTCGGGAACTGCTTGAATGTCATGTTCAGTATGGCAGCGGTGATATACCTGCATCGAGTCCCACTGACAGAATTTGCCAAATGCAGGCAGGAAAAATTTGTATGCGCACAAATTTATGAAAGCCTGACTGATCTGAGTGTCCTTCTGCACTTGCAAGTACTGGGCATGTACTCCCGTTTTCTGACTGGACCATGGATGCAGCTTTTATACTCAGACGAGGATGGAAAGTGACACTTCGGAGCAGTAAGTATTTGTTTGCTTGTGGTTATTTTGTCTGCCTCTTTTAGGGGGCTAGCTGGATGAGACCAATTTTATTTTTGTCTTGCTTTAATTTGTCTTGATGCAGTGATCTTTCCCTCTGTCCTGGTGTTTTCATGTAATTGTTTGTTTTACAGGTTGATTAGGATACAAGTTGCAGTAAGTAACATAGTGTTAGACATGTATTATTGCAGAATTGATTTTAAAAAAAATAATTTTAAATATTTCTTTATCATTCTTTTCAACCAGATGAAAGAGATAGAAACATGTCTTGGCCATCTCGCGACAGTGGAGGAGACTCCTAAATACTTAATCCATGCTCCAACTGATGACAGGAACATGGAGGAGTCTGAGTTAACCCAACTTAACCTTTCTGCTAAAGATTATAATCCAGTAGCACACAATTACTGGAAGAGAACTATCTTCATTCCAATACCAAAAAAGGGTGACCTGAAATTATGTACAAACTATCGAACTATTGCCCTGATCAGTCATGCAAGCAAAATTCTACTAAAAATTATAATGAGAAGACTGCATAAGAAAATGGAAGAAGAGATTAATGTAGCTCAGGCTGGATTTAGACAGGAAAGAGGAACAAGAGATCATATATTCAACATGCGTTTAATAATAGAGAAGTGTAGAGAATTTAATGTAAATCTGTTCTTATGTTTTGTAGATTATTCAAAAGCATTTGACTGTGTACAACATCAGAAGCTTTGGGAAATCATGAGGAATATGGGCTTTCCATCACATATAGTGCAGCTCATTAAAATGCTCTATCAAGATCAGCAAGCAGCAGTCAGAATAGATGGAGAGACATCAGACTGGTTTGGCATCAAGCAAGGAGTCCGTCAGGGATGTGTGCTGTCACCGTATTTGTTCAATCTGTACGCCGAAAATATAATGAGAAATGTAAGAGATGATGTAAACAAGGAACAATATGATGCCCTAAACATCGGTGGTCATGAAATACCAGAAATTCGTTATGCTGATGATACAGTATTACTATCAACATCACAAAGTGGTTTAGAAAACTTATTAACCTCACTCCAAAGAAATAGTGAAAATCATAACTTATTTCTTAACATAGCAAAAACAAAGATAATGCATACAAACAAAACTGCCATGGAGAAGGAAATATATGTTAATAAGGAAAGATTGGAAGTGGTGGAAAATTTCGAATATCTTGGGTCACTGGTTACCAACAATGGTGACACAATGAAAGAAATTAAACGACGACTATCAATTGCTCTTCAAAGACTAAAACAACTGAATAAATTATGGAATTGTACAGATAGAATTACAAAGGTCAGATTTTTAAGAGCATGCATCTTTCCCATTGCAACATACGCCTGTGAGACCTGGACACTTACTAAACAAGCGGAACAGCGCATAAATGCATTTGAATATAAATGTTACAGACAGGTTCTAAGAATATCTTGGGTAAAGAAAAGAACAAATGCATCCATACTTCAAGAGCTGAATATTGAAGAGGGTTGGCTAGTAAAGACAATAAAACAAAGAAAATTGAAATATTTTGGTCACTTGAAACGTCATGGAAGTCTAGAGAGAACAATAATGGAGGGGTATATGCCTGGTAAGAGAGGAAGAGGAAGGCCAAGGAGAAGATGGGTGCAGGATGTGGCAGATGATCTCCAGATGGGCGTATCAGACGCAGGACATCTTGCTCATGATAGGAAGGTTTTCCGGAGGGTTGTCATGGCAGCGAGGTTCCGCGAGGGACATGCTACTGAATGAATGAATGAGCACACAATTTAGCATCTGCTTTTAATCAAAACTCTGAAGCAGCAATTTAAACGATACTAGAGGGACCCTTGTCTAATCTATCTAAAGAACTGATAGCAAGGACATCTGCCCCAGTCCATAATATGGGGGCTGAAAGAATTGTGGCAATGTTGGATGCAGCTTTGGAACGAGCCCAAAATGCCTCCATTGGATTTATCAATGCTAAAGTAAAGGTTGTGCAAAACAAAACTTTGCACTGGCTGCAGTCATTTGATGATGAAGAAGTTTCTGGTCATTGTTGCAATTCATTGTGGATCTAAGGTGAG